AAATAAAGGTCTACTGCAGGGGTCCTCAAACTGTTAAAACAGGGGGCCAGTTCACTGTCCCTCAGACCGTTGGAGGGTCAGACTATAGTTTAAAAAAAACTATGAACAAATTCCTATGCACAATGCACATATCTTATTTTGAAGTAAAAAAACAAAACGGGAACAAATACAATATTTGTATTTGCATGTGGCCCGCGGGCCGTAGTTTGAGGACCCCTGGCATAGACTGTATAATTATATGTAATTTTACAAGTAAAACTAATCTATGATGAAAAAAAGTTTTTAAGTGTTTGCCTGGAGGGCAGGAACCTGGGGAGGACTGTGAAAGAACTTTCTGGAGTGATGGAGCTATCCTGATAAAGGCTTGACTTACACAGGTGTGCACACTTATGAAAATTCATGGAAGGACCCTGGCTGGTGTGGCTCGATGGGTTGGGCGGCATCCCATGCACCCGAAGGTGGCTGGTTCAATTCCCGGTCAGGGCCCATTCCTGGGTTGCAGGCTTGATCCCCAGTGGGGAGCATGTAGGAAGCAGCTTGTCAATATTTTTTCTCTCTCTCTCTCTCTCCCTCTCCCTTCTTGTCAATATTTTTTTTTCTCTCTCTCCCTCTCCCTTCCTCTCTCTAAAACCAATAAAAAATAAAAACATTTAAGATATTTTTTTAAAAAAGCTGATGGAATGGAACACTTAAGATTTGTGCACTTCATTGTAAATTTTATGGACAGGTGGGCAGCTAGGTGTGTAAATGCATGAATGCCTGTATCTGCGATTTACTTTTTAAAAATAAGTTGGAGGGGGGCTGAGGAGGGGGGTAGAGTGCCTTAAGCATGACATACACACAGGCACGCCTGTGATGAATCATTTTTCTAGCAAATCTTGAACGTCTATAAAAGGCCACTGGAAGAATCCAGGAAAATGTTTCCCCGTGTCTTGTGGCTTCTAATCTTTTCACAGGCACATAGAAAGAGTTTTATGTCCATGCACTTGCTAAGCCACTGGTTTCATTACAAGAAAGCAACATCAGGGGGGAAAAAAACAACAAACCTGTGAGCTCCTAAACTTTGGGGTACAAATATCATCTGGAAGAGGGAAAAACACAAGGGAAAAGAGAAAATGGATAAAAAAGATCATTAGGATGCGAAATAGGCACCTGGCTCATGAATTACCTTGAAAGCACAATTTTAAAATATAATTATCTTGATTCATGCCCATCCTGAGGAAATGTACATGTAAAGCCAGTGGTTTCTCCCTGGCCCACTGACAACCTTAAGCCAAGTGGCTTCTGGTGTCCCCAATCCCTTTGTGGGAGGCCAGGCTGGAGAAAAATCTGCAAAGGGAGAGACATCAAGTAGATGTCGGGTCTTATGGCAGACAACATCAAGGCTGATTAGCTGTGCGGACCAAGTGCCCAACAGGAATCTCTCACCACTAGAAAGTCGGACATTTGGAGGGCTGGCTGCTTGCTTTTCAGCCCCGCCCCCTCTGCAGCCGGGAGGCCGGGGAGGGGGTGCAAGTCCGCCTGTGAAGGTGCCAGGGAGGAGCGTTACCTCCATCTGCACGGTGGGAGAGTTCACTGCCATCTTATTCTTTCTCATGGAAGCCCAAAAAAACTCAAGAACAGTGCACGGACATTCGGGGTGCTGGCTGCTTGCTTTTCAGCCCTGCCCCTCTGCAGCCTGGGGGCTGGAGCGGGGCACGGGGGTGGGGGAGGGGGGTGCAAGTCCGCCTGTGAAGGTGCCAGTGAGGAGCGTTACCTCCATCTGCACGGTGGGAGAGTTCACTGCCATCTTATTCTTTCTCATGGAAGCCCAAAAAAACTCAAGAACAGTGCAGAAGATGGGTGAAAAGGAAGTTAAAGTGCTTTTGTTATAGTGGATATTTAATAATCTGAGTATATGTGGGAAGCAACATAGCATCTTGCCTTTTAGAGTCAGGCCAAGGTTGGACTGTTGGCTCTGCCACGTGACCTCCGGAAAGTTACTTAACCACGCTGACCCTCAACTTCCCTATATTCTTATATCCTTACAGGTCTCCCTGGGTGTCTGTGAGAATTAAATGCAATAGCACAGGTGAAGCATCTAATACAGCTCCACATCCCCCAAATCAAAAAATTCCAACAACCAAAGCCTTTTCCTAAATCATCTGTAGGCAAAACCTGACCTGAGGCCATTTGGTCTGCTTTTTAATCCACTTCTGTGATCATTTATGTTTCTCTGCAGAAATATTAATGTTTGATTATATGGAGTTGCCCTAGACCCTCCTGGAGTATTACATAATGTCTGATATATGCACCCTCTTCACTTTGTAAATCCAAAACATGAATTTTAAAAACATACCTTGTCCAAAGAGATTATGAACCCATATGACATCCTCACTCTAGTGTTAATTTATGAATTCCCTAGGCCCACTTCATTGCATATCAAGACCGCCTATGTATGGATTTCATTTATGTTGAAAGTTTATGTGGCCTGGCCAGTATGGCTCAGTGGTTGAGCGTCCAACCATGAATCAAGAGGTCCCAGGTTTGATTCCTGGTCAGGGCACATGCCCGGGGTTGCAGGTTCCCTCCCCAGTAGGCGTGCAGGAGGTAGCAGATCAATGATTCTCTTTCACAATGTTTCTATCTCTCTAGTCCTTTCCCTTCCTCTCTCTCTAAAACCACAAAGATCTGACTTGTAGAAGCTGGTGTTTGAAAGTTGTACAAATTAAAGTGAGTCCACTTATACGAAAATAAGTAGTTCTCCATTCATTGCAGGCAGCTTAATTCTTTGGCATAAGTTGTTCTGAAAGTTGTTACATGTTTATATTCATTTTTAACTACATAAAGAGATGAGTTAATAATAATAAAACCTTAATTAGGTTAAGAGCATACGTAACCAATTCTTTTCAATGTTTCCCAAATGCCAGTTGAGAGGATACTATTAGCATAACCTACCAGAGAAGTATTGGCACCATCTGGTGGTGAAACTGAAAACTGCATGTGTATATGCGCCCCCTCAGCTGTTAGAAATCAGTTCTCAAACTGAAAGAGGTTATTGACCCACAGGACAGTGTTATTTCCTCAAGTGCTGACTCCATTCCAGTCTTCTATAATCAATGCCACAAAATCACAATAGCAGACGGACACATTTGTCAAGTTTATGTTAAAAGAAACATAAATGAAAAAAAGAACAATTTTATAAGAATTAAATATATACATATGGTATCCCCCCAAAATGTATACATACTTTGAATGATTAATTCCAAGGAGTTAAATCTGGGGGGGGGGGGGGAGGCATCAAGAAGATCGCCTGGTGCAGAGTAAATGTTCAAACAATGCCAGCCAAAGGAGCTCTTTAGCAGTTTGCATGGTGATTCTTTGATTATTACGCAGTGTGAAAGTTTTCTCCTAGTCTGTTGCTTGTTTGTTTATGGACATTTATCAGACAGGAGTCTGTTTATACAAGCAACCCTGTCATTTTTTTTCCTTTTATGGATTTTATTGTAACCTGGCTGTTTATCTCAACATCTTACTGAACTGACCTCTCCAAGTTTCTGAGTTTGTGGTCAGAATCTTAAGGTTCCTCTTTGGTCTCCCCAGACATCACTCGTGTTCCTTCCATGGATGACAATCACAGCCACTGCTTTTTCATGTTTCCCCTAACGAACGCATTCCTTTTGTCCATAAAAGGTGGGGAGCCTTTTATCCACTCCAGTGGTTCTAACAATCCCTGCAGGCAGCGACACTGACAACATTCGCACAGTACTTTTCACTGGAATTTTTATCTTGATGTTCCACAATCACTTTATATGCCCTAAGATAGAATCATCTCTAAGGGGTATTGTTATGCTTTGTTCCTTTAACTTACAACAAACAGTATGTGTGGGATATTTTTTATGAACAAAAGATTCTAAATGTCTATGGAATATGCATACTCTCTAGGGGAACACAAATGCTGGTAAAAGTGGGAGGATGGGAAAAGACATACTTTCCACGTTAACTTCCTTGTGCCTCTTGAAGTTTGTACTATGATGTTAAACATAATTCTATCCTACATAATAAAAGGGACCTTCTCGTCAATCCCACCAAACCTATTCCTAACGTGGCTGGTGATGTCACTTCCACACTCAGTCTCTGCTATGCACTTGGGGGTCATCCTCTGTCCTTCAAATGCACATCAAGTACCATATGGAAATGGCACCTACAATTCAACAGCAACCCTACTCATCCCTGACCCAGCCACTCATTCAACAGCAACCCTCCTCACCTTGGACCCACCCACTCATTCAACAGCAACCCAGAGCACACAGAGTGAGTCCAGCCCTGCCTGGGACACAGCTGAAAAGAGGAAAAGATACTGTCAATAAAATACCCTCACAAAGCCCCATAGCTTGGGGTGCGGAGCAGCCACACCACATGTTTAAATAGGATTTCTTAAAAAGCGGATTCTTTAAGCCATTTGCAAGTATTTATTTAGGTAAGAGATCATAAAACACATTTTATAATATACATAAGAAAAAACACATTCAAATGAATAAAAGATAAAATGACAGGAGGTGACAGAATTTAGTGTTTATAAATGAGGCCATCAATAACTTTAACAATTTAGAGAAGAAACTCAAAGTGTACTTAAAAGTTTGAGACCATGCTTTACAATATTTTATAACACAAAAATAAAGTGTTAGGCTTTTAAAGAAATACATTACTTAATGGTTTTTCAACAGGTTTCATAACGGATTTCTAGACACTGTCACATATGACATGAAAAGTAAAAAAGTCAAGAGCTTTGGCAAGCCAAGTATTAGTCCACAGCAGCTTGTGAGATTTACTTTCTTATATAAAAATTCTTCAATTTACATTTGTTCTTGTTACAGGAACAGAAAGAAACTAACATGCCAAGTATATCTGAGGAGTCTATTAGCTATAAAGCAAAAATAATTACTTTTGAAAGCTACATTTTATGAAAATGTGTACCATGCAGCATCTTCAGTAACAGCAAATGTAAACCATGTGATTATTAAGTCTTCTAAATAAACATCTTACCCTCAAATCTCACACAATATCCCCTAAGTCCGCATCTCCTGTTCGGAGAAGCCTCAGCTTAAACGAATGTCCATTTGCTCTTTGAAAAAGCCCTTGCCTCCATTACTAAAAACGTTCTATAAAGTCCCTAAGAAATGTCTTCAGTGCGAAAGTAACAAGATACTTCCAATAGAGGCCCACACCCACAGGAAGGCGTATGAGGCTAAAGAGTGACTCTAACTCCCGAAGACCCCTCTGTGCTGAGACCCACAGCTCCAACAAGACAACTTACAATTTCTTACTTAAAAACAAACATTTTCTCGTGAATAACTGAATAATCAGGTTTCTAGGAAATGAGGATTTTTAGATTAAGATTTAGCAAAATCAACTATAATAAATTTTCCTCTAGGCAATTTATGAATGACAAATCAGTTGAAGTTTTACATACAGAAGACACAGATACTGCATAATATGTAGTGAATATTGGCACATACCCTTTTGTTTTTAAAGCATAAAATGCCATCAGCATATCTGCCACCCTTAAGATACACGTATGACGGAGCTCAAAGCCACCAGTGAGCGGCACGGGAACTGCCCCGCTCAGGGCTTCCCAAGAGGCTTGTAGCAGGCGTCAGGCTGCCAGAGGCGAATGTCCACAAGGACTTGATTGAGCTTCTGCATCCAGAGGTCCCGCTCCTCCTTGGTGTCTGCGGACAGCCAGTGCCTGCGGGAGCAAACCAGCAGCTGCTCAGAGCTCTTCTGCCCCTTCCACATTGCCCCACGCCTTTACGTGGGGGGAAAGCCTCAACAAACCAGTAAAATGAGTTCCTCTGCACCCTCTCTAAATGGATGCTAATTGAGAGCCCCATAGGGAGATGCTTCAAGTACAATTTGTAAAATGAGAAACATTTAATTTAGATAAAAGGCCCTGTGTAGAAATAGGTGAGACAAAGGAGAATGCAGAATGATAAAATGTTTATATTTTAACAAAATGTATGATCCAAACGGTTTTAAGAAGCCACCAAGAATGAGAGCCCTCCAGACTCAAATGCATAACGATGGGTCTGCTCAAATCACAATCTTATATAATAACAGGCTAATATGCAAATCGACTGAACAGCGGAATGGCTGGTCGCTATGACGCACACTGACCACGAGGGGGCAAACGCTCAATGCAGGAGCTGCCCCCTGGTGGTGAGTGTGCTCCCACAGGGGAAGCACCACTTAGCCAGAAGCCAGGCTCACGACTGGCAAACACAGCAGCAGTGGCAGGAGCCTCTCCTGCCTCCACAGCAGCAGCGCTAAGGACCCCTCGGGGGATGTCTGACTGCCAGCTTAGGACCGTTCCCTGTGGGGAGCAGGCGTAAGCCAGCAGGCGGACATCGCCTGAGGGGCCCTGGGCTGCGAGAAGCACAGACCAGTCTGAGGGAACCCACCCCCACTCAGTGCACAAATGCCATACACTGGGCCTCTAGTGATGTTAAAATGAGAAAAACAAAGTAAGTACAGTCGTGGGAGAAGGCCAAGGAGAAGGTCAAGAAGAAGTCTGGGAGGGACTGATAGTAGGTAAAGGTAAGACTATATGAAAAAGGGTTAACATGGGCTCCTGTGATCAGGAACCACTTAGGTACTGAATTTTGGCTGGTTCCCCCACTGACTGTGGACCTGGACAAATGACCGTAAACCAACTGTGCCCCCTGTCCTGTCCTGTCTTATGCTGCAGAGAAAGGAAAGGAGGAGAGGAGTGCCACTGAGTTAATCTGAAATAATCTAGACACCAAGAATCTCCAGGGAACGGGTCCCCTCCCTGAGCCATCTTTAAGTCCCACATCAGAAACCCCTGGGGCAGCTCCATCCACCCCCATCTGCAATGCCCAGCTGCAGCCTCATTAATAGACTGTGTCAAACTCGAACTTTTGTCCCTAACCACAACTGTGTACGTTGAAGTTGGCTTTAGGCTTCTCTTGGGCATCCAAGCAAAAGAATCTTAGACTCTTAACAATAAACTTTTGCACCTTATACCTAAGGCTTCCGCCTAACAGAAACTGACACTCCCAATAGTTCATTCTGTTCACCTCCAACCAGAACTTGGCAGAGCAGAATGACTGCTTTTGTAAGTCACCTGATTGAAAGGGCACTTTGGAATGGAAAGGAAGGAGTTTGTAAAGGCTCTTCAAATAATATTTGGCTTCCCCATTATACATGAACTCTTCAAACTTAACCCAAAGTATATCAGCTAACTGCCCTGAAAATGGCTACACCGTGAGAACACTGAAAGCATGATCAGCTAAGATATAACCTGAACTAGATTCGTGCACCAGTGGGGTCCCTTGGCCTGGCCTGCGCCCTTTTGCAATTCAGGACCCCTCGGGGGATGTCAGAGAGCCAGTTTAGGCCCGATACCCACAGGCCAGGCTGAGGGACCCCACCGGTCCACAATTGGGGTCAGGGAGGGACTGTGGGAGGGTTTCAGGGCATGTCCAGCCAATCTTGCCAAGTCCCAATGGGCCGGATCCCAGCAGCAAACTAACCTACAGGTCAGAGCATCTCCCCCCTGGTGGTCAGTGTGTGTTATAGCAACTGGTCGAATGGTCAGACACTTAGCATACTAGGCTTTTATTATATAGGATGGTAAGCTTTTCTTCACTAGACTAATTTAGTTATTAGATTGTTCACTTACATGTGTGTTTTGTGCTGTTATTAAGCCTGTACCCCCTAAAGACAGGGATGACCCTGATATTTCTTACACTGGGAAGAGCATATGGGCAATTAGATCCTGTGTTGGCAGAACTATCTACAGCCCAATACTTACTTGGTGACACAGAGTGTGTCCCTGCACTGGCTGACAAGCGTCTCTCGGTCATCTTCTCTTTGTGGTCATACAGGAATTAATTCAAAAGTGTTGCGTCTTGTGCAAAATTCTCTGTTGGCTGGTTCTATCTGACGACTGGTACAATTGGCCAGATTTATCCTTCCTATGGGATTCTTTAAAAATAAAAATTTTTTAAAAAGTATTAGCAGAAGGTAAACAAGACCATTTAAGTAAGCATTACGCAGTATTTAAGGTTTTATAAATTGAAAAAGCCACATGGCTACAATAATACTAAAGTAAATTTAATAATATTTTTTACTAAAAATGTCAATTAAAAATATTATAAAACATTTAGGAAGAAAGACAAATATATGCCTTACAGTATTTTAAGAGTGATCAAATCACAGGGAATGGGTAAAATATATAATTTCTGTGCGCGCGTGCGCGCACACACACACACACACACACACACATATATATTTTGCAACCAGCACGTTTTCGATGGCCTAGTAAACAGGCTCCCAGGGGAGCGGGTGGTGGAGGCCCGAGGGAGCACTTACTGAAACAGCACGTCAAGGCAGGTCGGGGCCTTCTCACCGACCAGCACCCTCAGCCCCTCAGCCTTACCTTCCGTTTCTCGTCATCGGGGTACGTCCAGTAGGAGATACAGTTTCCAGACAGAATACACCATCTTCGATGCCAGGCACCAAACCCACTCACATCTTCAAATATGGTCTAGAAAAGTCAGGGAGATCCTGGCTTAATCACTTGGGGACCAGTTAAATGTTAATCCCACTGGCTCAATGTCACACTATGTTGGAATATGCCCTGCTTCACACTCTCCCTGTGTGACTTCCATCCTGTCTCATTCTCAGTGGTGAGAATCACTGGCTGCTCACACCCAGACATGTGCCCAGATTTTTAGCAGCATCTAGGCATCAGCACTTAGAACCTCTGCGTATTAACCCCAAGTGCGTACCTCTACCTAATATCAGACTTTTTAAAAGCATGGTATCCCTGACCAAACACTCCTTAAATAAGAGAAAAGTACTTCAAGCATTGGAGAGTAAAGTGATTGAGAATGTCATGTCTTATATATTGAAAAAAACAATTAGACTTAATGCAAAAAGACTGGCATTTAATTTCTATTTGGTACAACAAAACAGGACTGGAAAGAGGCAAACAGGCAACTAGTAACACGGGGGCTTGTCCATGAAGAGCTTCTACGTACACAGTGTAAGCGGGAGCTGCTTCCCCCACCCCCACTGTTTCTTAGCCGTAATGGAGCCCTAATGTATGCAAGTCATTCCTATTAATTTAAGAAAAGAATCCATTTAGACACTATTATATTAAGAAACAGAGCAAGGCGAAAACGCCCCAGCGCCCTAGTCAGGGGTGGGCAGGCTTTCTCTGTGAAGGGCAGACAGTAGAGATCTGGACTGTGTGGCTCTTTCATAACCATTCATCTGGCCGCTGCTGCAGTGCAAAGCGCTCACAGACAACATGGAGACCAATGAGCTGAGTTCTAGTGGAACTTTATGAAAACAAACGGGGAATACTCTGCTGGCCCTAATGTAGGTAATCCAAAGGTATCTTGGTGATTTCAAAATGCACTAAGAATTTTCCACCTTAAAGTGGTTCAACGAAGCCCTACACCAAACAACAGTGGGAGAGAGAGCCTCCTCCATCCACAAATTTGTGTAATTTTACCAAAAGTGGCATGAGTTAGCAGTGCAATCTCTGGCCCTGGAGGGAAATTACTCTGTGTGAAGAAATGTCTCCATGATAGAATAAAACCTCACATTTATTAGCTAATTAATTAGCTCACACTGATTAGCTGACTCCAACCATATGCTCTCTTACCCCACCTTTTTTTCTTTTCCCCAGTTTACCCTCTCTCCTCCCCAAGGCCTGGTTTCTCGAGGCAGCACCTGCATACAGCCACCCAAGGGAATAAGACAAGAATCTTATTTCAGCCTCATGGACAGAGTTAGCATGACTGACTCACTAGCGCCCTCCTGTGTTTCTGCTCACCTTTCACATCATAAAGGTAACAGACAGGGGGACATTAGATGGAGAAGAATAACTCAGTTGTCACTATGCTCTACTCTAATCAGAGAGGAATGACAAGGGGAGAGCTTTTCCTTTTTATAGCTGAGAAAACTAAGGGCCAAGGAAAGCCAGTGACAACACCATCACAATGCAGACCACAGACCAGGGACCTTCTAGACATCCAGTGTTCGTCCCTTGCTGCTCATCAGTCTAAGACCCGTGGTCGGCAAACTGCGGCTCACGAGCCACATGCGGCTCTTTGGCCCCTTGAGTGTGGTTCTTCCTAAGCCTTAGGAGTACCCTAATTAAGTTAATAACAATGTACCCACCGATATAGTCTGTTCAAAAAATTTGGCTCTCAAAAGAAATTTCAATCGTTGTACTGTTGGTATTTGGCTCTGTTGACTAATGAGTTTGCCGACCACTGGAGACGGAGCTGGAGGAGCACCACAGAACCACTTACCAAGGCTTTTTGGATGGTCATTTCCTTCCTTCCAGCTGTCAGGAAGGGAAACTGAACACCTTAAATTTCAATTAACTTATTTTTTTTAAATATATTTTTATTGATTTCAGAGAGGAAGGGAGAAGGAAAGAGATAGAAACATCAATGATGAGAGAGAATCATTGATCGACTGCCTCTGCATGCCCATACTGGGGATCAAGCCCACACTCCGGGCATGTGCCCAGACCCAGGCATGTACTGTGACCTCCTGATTCATAGGTCAATGCTCAACCACTGAGCCACACCTGCTGGGCCCACCTCTACTCTATAGAGGGCAGTGGTAATTAAAATGCATTGATTAGACAGGGGACAGAAGTTATCTGGGAGAGTCCAGAGCCCTTTCTGTGAGGATAAGCCTAAAGAGATACAACAAACTAGTTAAGAGCTCAGGCATTATATGTAAATGAACTAGCTGCCTCAGTAGGAGACTGGATAATGGTGTCTCTAACACAATATGGAAATATTTACATTAAAATGTCACTAAGTAAACACTGCCTTCAACCCAGGGATTTATAGACAGGCTTTCCAAGACTATATAGTGCACGAGAGAAAGCTAGCAGGGAAGCCAGGTTTGCCATCCACTTGGCCAGGTGGGCTTGCCGGGCAACCTAGCTCCTCTTTCTGCACCTTTCACAGCCACTGCGAATGCTTTCTTTCATTCAGGTTCTTGCTTCACAGAGGAAACTGAAGCTACTGTACTTTCCAGGGATTTCCCTACTTCTTGCACCACACCCACCTTCGTCCACATATTCTTCACATACGTTTCTCCTCTGATAACTGAAAAAATATAATTCTGTACAAAATCAGTCCTATGAGCATGTACTGTGGTTTGGGTCTGATTTCGTCTCACTCTCATGATCTTATTTATCCTAGGAATTCTTCCTGAACTACCTCAATCTCCAACCCTATTAAAAGCTACCCATTGTATTTGAAGACTCAAGTTGAGCCTAATAAGATGTCAACGAAATCCTTCTTTTATCCTAAAGATCCTGTCAAGTACCACACGCTTCTCACCCACTTGCAGCCAAACTCTGTTTCAAGGAGTTGCTCGCACTCCCATTCCTCACGTCCATTCCCTTACTGCCAGCTTATTAATGTGCACGCACTCTGTGCTTTCGCCCATGATAGCATTGCATCGTATTTACTGTCCACTTGTCCTCCCAGCTAAACTAACAGTTCCTGAGCAGAGGAACGTTGTGGCCCAGTACATTCCCACACCAGCACAGTCACTGGCATGTAATGGACATGCAGGAATCTTTACTGAACCAATTTACCACTGAATCACACAGGCTATCTTGCCTATGAGAAATCCAAGCCTAACCTTCACAAACAGGAAAAAGAAAATAAATATAGATTACTTACTAGAAAACCTTTTTCTTCAACACTTGAATTCACTTGACATTTTATTTTTAAATAAATATGACCTTCCAAAGGAGATAAAAAGGGGACCTGCAAAGAAAGAGTAAATTATTTGCAAAACACTTTCAAATTGGCATTTTTCTAGATAAGAGTTTAATCATGAACAGAGAATGTTGTGCCTTGAAAACACACTGTTTTCTAAAGCAGGAATATAAACTAAGTGGCCAAAAAGCTACTAGTTCCGCAGCAACAAGTGCTTTTGAAGAATAAGCACATTCAAATTAGAGCTGGTAAAAACAGAACCCTTACCATGATCAAGAAAACACAGATATAAGAAGAGAATACAAGTGCTTATCCATTCTCCATCAATATATTCAATAGGAGACTGGATAAACCAACTGGTACAGTAATACAACAAAATAATACTCAGAAGTAAATAACAGTGAACTGCAGATTTAAAAAGTTGATCCTCAAATTCATATGAAATTGCAAAAGGTCCCAAACAAGCAAAACAATCTTAAAAAAGAAAAAGCTGAAAGAACCACACTTCCCAATTGCAAAACTTAATCCAAAGCTATCATAATTACAACAGTGTGGTATTGGCATAAGAATAGACGTATAGACAAGAACAGAACTGAAAGTTCAGAAATAAACCCATACATCTTATAGCCAATTGATTTTCAATAGGGTACCAAAACCATTCAATAAAGAAAGAGCAATCTTTTCACAAATGGAGTTGTGAAACTGGATATCCACATGCAAAAGAATGAAGCTGGATCCCTACCTCATATCATATATCAACAATTAACTCAAAATGAATCAATGACCTACGTATGAGAGCTACAAATAAAATATTAAGTCTTAGAAAAAAACATAAAGGTAAATATTAAATAATCATGAATTTGGAAACGTTCTCTGATATGAGGCCAAATGCAGGAGCAACAACAGGAAAAAACAAAAACAAAACAAAACAAAACAAAAAAACAGAGAAATTAGGCTTCATCAAAATTCAAAACTTTTCAGTATGTAGATTCCTCAAAAAATTAAAGATAGAAGTAACATATAATTGAACAATCCCACTTCTGGGAATTTATCCAAAAGAATTGAAATCGGGTCCTGAAAGGGATATTTGCACTCCCAGGTTCATTGTAGCATCTTCATAATACCCTAGAGGTGAAACAACCTAAACGTCCATCAACAGGTGAACGGATACTGAAAATGTGGTTCAGTCTTCTCCTTCCTCCCCATTTCTGAGTATAAAAACCACTCTGAAGTTTGTCTTTTAGGCTTTAAAACTCCCCTGTGCATCTTTTCTTATGTGTCCTAACCCACAGCCCCACACAGCAGATTCTTGAGATTGACTATTGTGTCTTTTTATTGGCTGTTCCCATATCCTACTGTCAAATTATACCCAGGCAATCAATAAATGTTTGCTAAAAGAGCACTGTTTGGGCAAATAAACACCCAGAGTTCTTTACTGAAAAAATAAATAAATAAATATGGTATATAGATACAATGGAAATATTATTTAGCCATAAAAAAGGAAATTCTGTCAGATGCTATAATATGGATGAGCCTTGAGTACATTATGGTAAGTGAAATAAGCCAGTCACAGGACAGATACTTCTGGCTCCACTTATATACCTGGAAGTATATACCACATATATACCATGTATGTACCTGAATTAGCCAAGCTCATAGACGCAGAAAGTAGACTAGGTGTTGCAGGGGCAATTTAAAAAACAAAACAAGCCATAAGCCAAACTTAACCTGTAGGCTAAAAGTTTGCCTGGTCTTGTGGTAGATTAAGCCCAACTATATTGGTACTGCATTAAATATAAATGGCCTAAACACCCCAATGAAAAGACAAAAGATTGTCACACCAAATAACAAAATATGACCATAAAATACGTTTATACACAAATTTGACATATATAGTCACAGATGTATTGAGAATAAAGGAAGGAAAAAGATATAACATACAAACACTAATCATGAGAAAGCTGTTGTAGCTATTAATAGCAGATAAAATAGACTTTAAGATTATCAGAGATAAAGTGAATAATTCATCAAGATGATATAATAATCTTAAATGTTCACGGACCTAATAATGTAGCTTTAAAATACAGGAAACATAAATTGACACACACAAAAAAATTAAGTGCCTAAATTGAGACTATGCTGTTCTTCCTGATTGGAATTTGGGGGGATTGATTTTTTTCCAAATAAAATCATGCTGCTTATCTAGCATGGAAAACATTCACATAATAGAGTATACAGATGTCATAATATAAAATTATATACCTGAAATCTATGTTATTAACCAATGTTACCCCAATACATTTACTAAAATATTTTAAAAGTTAACATTCACATAAATATTTGTAAATGTATCACTCTTATCAACATATTACTAGTTAGTGAAAACACTTCATGTCAAAAGTATCTTAAATTATAAAAGTTGCTTAAGTATACGTAAGAATTTTAAAAGATTTAGAATTTAAAGATTATAATAAACATGAGAAATTCAATTGGAGAGGTTGAGTCATTAGAGTAAAATGGTTAACATACATATATTTATTGATATTGACTTCTGGTCAAGAAAGAATGATGGTTAATGTCTGTCATTACTGCTGTCCAGTGAAAAAGAATGATCTCCTAGTTGGAATAATCTTAGTTCAGTCTAAATAATTTTTTAAATAAGAGAGTGGAAGGGAAGGGGAGAGACAGAAAGAGAAATATCAATGTGAGAGAGAAAAGGGATCAAGCCTGCAACCGAGGTACGTGCCCTTGATTAGAATCGAACCTAGGACCCTTCAGTCTGTGGGCTAACACTCTAACCACTGAGCCAAACCAACTAGGGCACAGTCTAAATTTTAAAGTTTTAATTGTAAAGTTAGTTTCCAACAATTTAATCTTCTCTTGGCCAAAAAGTATAGATTTCAATAGACAAAACTTAAAGTTTCTGGATTTAAAAGGGAACCATAATGTAGAATCAAAACACCACATATCTCATTATTTTATTTGTTATAAATTCCCTAGCCTTTTTCTTTTCCATATAGTCAGTTTTAAGTTCCTTAGCCTCTCAATGCTAAAAAAGAGAATTCCACTGTTTTGCAGAATGCTGCTGGTAAAAAGAATCTCAGAAAGATAAAAAGAAAATGGTCCCTCTAACTCCACAACTGGAAGTACACAATGTTCTTGATTAGAAGCTTGCTCTGAACAAGTGAACTGAGAATATTCACAAAAGAGTCGATGTTACTACCCCGTTGAGTTTGGAGAGAGATGAAAATGTATGTTTTCTGTTTTCTGTTTAACAAAAGGGCATTTTAAGAATACTGTTAAGAACTGTAAAATGAACCTATAACCAGGACAACTGTGTAATCTTTACACACTGAGATATTTCTGCGAGAGAAGGGGATACCATTAATCATTTATACCAGGCCAAAGGCATAAACCAGAACACCTCTGTGCACACCAGAACCCTAACCACTCTTCCTGTGACCTCAAAATTCTACAATGCTAATTGGTGCCCTAAAGCCATTTAAATTGACAACCCTGTGTCCTGGAAAGCAGAAATATCTATGAGGTTTCTTTAAGTCAGAAGATGAGCTGTGGGATGTCCGTCTCTCTTTATCCAAAACATGTAATAAAACCTGAGTATTTTTTAAAAACAACAAAAAATCTATGACTATTTTGGATTGGTTATTCAAAGAAAAGAAAGTCCTTGAGAGTCTGTGACTCACTGAGATTCATAATCTGAATTCCAGGATGCCAGACTTTACATCAGGTATCTGTAACCTCAAGTAAGAAATCTCCTGTTAGTGGTGCCCTAAATCTCTAGAGCAAACAGTCTGGATTAACCTCAAAGGTCATTCTATTCTGAAGGGATCTCAGAGATAGCTGTTGTATTATTGGTCAAGGCACCAGTAAAATAGGCTAACACTCCCTTGTACCGATAGTATCTGGTAAGATATGGGACACTTGTTTACTCTCTCAAAGTTAATTAAATAGAGTAATTATATGAGTATAAAAGGTCTTCCATTTTCCCCACCAATTTAAAGAACACCTAACATAACTATTTTAAATATTCTTTTATATCAGCTACAAACAATTGGAAAAACTATTTGTTTTCTCCTGGCACTCACAAAAGTACATTTGGGACAAACCTGACATCAAAATTGTGTTGTATATGAAAGAGACTTTAGAGTACTAGAGACAACAAATTAAATAAAATGATTTTGCACTCAATCTCATGGTTGCCTATTTAAGTTATAAATTCAAAAGAATTAAGAGAATAGAAATATTTTGTGACATTTTGAATTAAAATGGCAGACAAAAAAGTTTCAAAAAGCAAACATTCTATATTGAACGTGTTACTGAAATCCCTCCATTTTAGAGATTAATGAAATCGCTTACACATGTAGAAACTGGCTTTGTGACAGACAACAGCGAGTAAGGAATACAGTTCACAGAATCCCAGTTCTTACGTTTAATCTGCAAATCTTGTTCTAACAATAAATAAACTAGTACTGTCCAGCATTTTATAAATTAACATTTCTAAATACAAATTGCTTGCAATTGAACTTCAAAAGGATATTAAAATCCTTTTAAAAATCTAAAATATATTATTAGTATAATTTTAATGTTAAATTCATTTTAATTTAAAAATTAAAAACAAAATATCATCTACATGGCAATATGCCTATAGCCAATAGTGACCAAATAAGTTTTCTACTTAAAGCATCACCAATAGCTCTTTCAATATATGGGAGGTAAACAATCTTGAATAAATTTAATTTGTTATTTTAGTACCCAGAAAATCAACGTTGAAGTGACTACAGAATCTGAACAAACTAAAATATGAAAAAAGAAATAGGAGGAAAGCCAACACCAAATATGCATGAAGAAAACAGAGAACAAAGTAAAGATGCCCAACTGCAAGAGACTAAAGAAAGAATGTATATAATGTCCTTAATTATTCAAAATAACCAAGAAGGCAGAAGAGTGGTTAGTGAAACAAATACATATAGGCCAAAACTTAAGGATTGATTTTTTAGCTTGTTAGTTTCAAGCAAAGAAAAAATTGCAACCTTTTCCTGGAACAAATAGCCCAGTAGCTCTCGCTCTTTTACATCATAATTTATCTAAAACAAACAAAATAAAAGACAAAGAGAAAAAAAAATCCAGGATCACTCAATTTGTTAAACTAGCTGAATTGCTAAGTAAAAAGGTATAGGAATCTTTTAAATTAACATGTTAAAAAATACACTTATACACTTATGCATTAACAATAATCAAAATTTAAAATATAGTCTGTCAACTACAAGAAAGATTTCATGGAATTCTAAAGCTATGAGAAATGAAGTGCCTTTGCTCAATGTTAAAGAGGAAATTCCTAGCAGGGCCAACACTAACGAGGCCTCCTAATGTGTAATACTTCATCTCTACATTCTAACTACAAAAATCTCTTATAATATTTAAAAATTCCCCTGTATTATGAAGCAGGGGTCAACCCAAGAATTAAAGTTTGCTTCTAGTTCTCTCATTCCTTAAAATGGTCTTGTTAGTTACTAAAAGTTTAATCATATCACAGTATGGTGAAAAGCACTCAGTGATATTACACAGATCTGAATGCTGATGCTTTAAACCTAGGGAGGAAAGTATGGGAAGGAAACACTTTAGATTCATGGATACTTGTCTAAGAAAATAACCTATCTTTCC